TGTACTTTATGTATTGTTTGGGATTCAGAAAGTTACATCCATGAATATTCTCTTTTTGTTAAAATTAGAATCTAAAACCCACCAAGTGTGTTTAATTTTAGAAGGCACACTGCTTCCCAAGAAAAATACAACCCACAGTTCAGTTTGTCACCTACATAGAGTCCTGAAATTGCAGGTTTTTTCGCATATTTACCCTGATTACATCCACACAGTTACACACAATCACACCTGAAAACTGACTTCGGGTTGAGGACGTTGCTCAAGATGCAAACTTTTTCACTTTTCTGAGCCACATTTTATTCGACTGATGACCTACTAGTCACAATCTTGTTTCTTTAACTTTGAGGCCACTACAGGGAAAAAGGAGATATATCTAATAATAATTTAAGCCCTGACGTTTTTCACAAGGGGTTGAAAGTAGTGGGGACTCTGCCATCTGTTTATTTTATTGGAATATTTCGACCATCTGCTATGAAAACCTCCCAGGAAATTAGATTAAAGAGTGGAAGATGGAATGGGGAGTATTGTTTTAACACTACAATGCCAACACTGTCTGCTAAAAAACTGCATTCATAACTTGGAATAAGTTGTGTTCCCAATTACATTTAGGTGCTTGCCGGGTTTCTGAAATGCATCATAGTGATTGGCATGAGGTGGTTGGGGTAGATGGCAGGCCAACAAAGCTTACAACATCGATGACCAGGCTTTACATCCAGAGTCTTAGCTGTGTTTATGCTCCAGCAGCAAAAGCATTTTGATTAAAGAACCGGTGTGTAGGATTCAGTGGCATCTAGCAGTGGGGTTGCAGATTGCAAGGTCCTCTGTAAAGCCAGCGTTTGGCACAACATGGTAGGCTTTGTGGAAGAGGAGCTGTTCTCTGTGTAGGTGTGAAGGATTCTTTCTAAGCTCACAAAAACACAACGACTTGCAGTTACAGATGATTATACACAAATGAAAAAGAATGAATGAATACAGAAATGAATACTTTCATCTGCTAGTAGGTCCCCCTAAATCTTGTCTTGCATTGTCAGATCTATCTCCACACCTCTGTGCCGGCACTGGAGAATGGTCTGGCTGCACCTAAGTACCATTCTGCTGTTGGTCAAACAAACGTACGGTGGGCGACGGGGGAAATGACGTGCATGTACACAAACGAGCTGCGTATACATGAATGCTTTGCATAAACAGAGTGCCATAAGCCTCTAGGGGCAGTAGTGAGCATTTCACCTGAGAGGTAAACAACGATGAGCGAGACAAGTAACTTAAGTTGAGGGAAAAGCTGCATGAAAAGGTCTGTATTCTCTGGTCTCCATGGATAAACATAAATAACAGAGGGAGACAGTAGTAAAACACCACTTCAGCAACTATACAATCAGACTGATTGAAAAGCTAAAGACTTAAAAACTGCCCCTAGAGGCCTGTGGCACAGCATCTTCTTTTTGCATTTGTTGTCATTTATGCAGTGCGTCTGTATCTGCAGTGTTTTCCTTTTTTCGTCCAGGGTAGTGCCCAGGATGCAGCGATGGTACCCCTGCTAAATGGTGTCAATTGTTTAGGTCTATGTGTACACAGGGAGGAGCGTCATTTAAAGATGTGTCGGCCTGCTGGTGCACAGCTGCCTAACTGCTTAACTCAGTTCCCCAAAACGTGACATTTTTACAGTGTGTAGGTTGCTGCTTGGAGTTTGCAGCTGTTGCTTACCGTAGCAAAGGGGATTTTGAAAATGGTAGCATGCAGATAGCGGAAGTGTAGCAGAAATGAGTGCTAAAACTATCAGACTTATACCACCAGTCTATATCAGACTGCTTTAAATCAAACACACTGGACCTTGAAGGTGAGGAGAAGATTGCAGTTTTGATTAAGTATAGCCTAACATGTCTCAAGTCACTATGGACTCTGCATTAGACCAGAGTACAAGCTTCCATTAACTTTATCCAATTGCTATGAGCCAAAACATAAACTTAAAAGAGTTATAAAACTATTATTAAAGTTAAAATTGTACTACAACATTGGAAACTGTCAATACCATCTGTTGATACAGGACAGTACGCACATGTACAAGATGACGAAAAACAACCCCTAAGCTGTCCAACTGCTCACAACTACAATCACACAAACATTTATATGCGCATCATTTTACGCAATATTATCTACATTCCCTGCTGTCACACTTTGCACTTGCAGCTTTACAATTTCCTATGCTCTGTATCTTTATTTTTTATATAGTCTGTCGTTTGTTTTGCACATGTTTAATTCTGCAAGTGCCTTCAAAATGTTGTTTTATCGCTGTCTGCTGCAGTATAATGAAGATGCAATGTCTGGTTCTAATTTTAAATCTAATTCTCAAAATACGTCAGTGATGTTGTCTATAAACATCATACCTGGAGACAAGGTTGACTCAGGAACTGATGCTTTTACTGTGAAACTATTTTAAATATATGGAATATATGGTTGACTTGTCCTGCTTCACTCACTGCTCTTATTTGAACATCAATGTTTGGTACATCTGCAGCAGGAAGAGACACATGGACAGGTACTGGCATGTAGGAATGTCAGCAGTTAGCAAAGTCAAAATGTCACAGAGGATTGGATGGTTTTCAGGACAGGAAGGAATCAGACACTGTTGGCACCCACACAGGTGTTTCACTCATTTTGAATCATTTAACCTCTTCTCACATTTGTGCTGCTTAAATAGAAAAGTAGTACGTTTGTTCAACCCAGACAGGTGTTACAGAAGTACGAGGAGAAGAGTCAGGGTGAAAGACACGACCACACAGTCCTGCTGCAGGTTAAATCAACCAAAGTAATGGAAAACACCTGTGATGATAATCAGGGCCTTAAAAATCCATCTGACTATACCAATTAAAATGCATTTAGTACATTCTGATTAGTATGTAGGATGAGTGGTGCTCCTCTCGGAACAAGAGAAGCAGTTTTAGTATTAGTACCAGCAGCGTTGGTGTGACTAATATTCTGAATTTAATGCTTTTAATGTGAATTTTTGATGAAAATTGATTAAATGTACAATTACTGCTTCGTGCAATGTCACCAAAAACAGCAGTGGAACGTTTGCAAACAGACAACTGAACGAAACACCAAGTCATTTATAAAGTAAAGCATCACCTGAATTGTCTGAATCACTAAACAATCAAACATGCCCTGTGGACTGAGCACCGTAAGAATGTTTGAAGCACTCGCAGAGCAAAGTGACAGTTTGCAAAGTGCATGTCAGCTTCACTGAGCTTTAATCAGGGCCCACCCTTGTTTTTCTTTTGACTTTTAATATAATAACAACATATAAGACTCAGAACAGCTGGCATCCTCAAGGGTAATTTCTGAATTTACTGAATCATTTATCATGAAGTGAGGCTCTAAATGATGCAGAATTCCTCCCTGAGCTTATTACAGAACTGAATGCACATCACAGGAGCATTTTAGCTCCATTTTTGCTTCCTACCATGGTGCCATTTAGGTTTTGTAATTAAATATACGCAAATTACGACTTTAGTGTCATTGGGAATCCTCACCGAGTTGCTCAATAGGATGAAGGTTTTCCCTTGATTTCAGTGTTTTAATTAATTCCTTGCCTAAAACAGAATGTTTAATTTGATTGCCTTTTTTAAACCTAACCTCTGATAACTATCACATTACGTTTATTGAAATCTTCTGATAGTTTTCTTTCATTTTTGTAAGATTAGGTGGTAATAATATGAAAAATAATTAATAAGAGTTCACCTTGAGCAGAATAAAATACAACAACACTAGCAGTAAACTTAAACCAAGTATGACTATTTTGTTAATGTGAGGTTTGATCTCTCACGCAGCAATGTGAGATTACTGTGAGGTGACAGTGATAACCACGGCTCTACTGTGCAATATTTGAATCTAGAAGATGAAAAAAAAGGCTCATAATAAAGTGGCATATGACCATGTGACTGGAGTCATGTGTTGCTAAATTCTGCAGATTTATGGATGTTAATCTTCAGGATATTTAATTTAAATCTTGTGTAAAACTTGTATTTTGTTGCCATGTTTTACGTATAATGTTCATATATATGACACATATTTGAAGGTGCCTCAGTCATTTCAGTAGCATTCAAGATAAGATTTGGTCATTGAAGATCAATGGTTTCAAATGGCTCTTAAATACCTGAAATTAAATACGTAACCTCATCAGCTGTAATATGTTCAGTTTTGTCAGTGATTTCTTACTTCCAGACTTGTTGACTCATCTAAATGTACATTTCTTTCAAACTGATAGGGAAATAAACAGTTAGGAACACACTCATAAGATCTTTATATGGACATCCTCTTACCAACGTGACCATAATTATAGAGCTAATCTGTTGTTGTTGCTAAAGCATTAGTAAGGGGATCTAACGCATGCAGCTATTTCAGCGTGCTGTTGTTGGTGGTTTGAGGAATATGTGATGCTAGCCCAGTTAAACTCCACTATACAACTGGACCTACGGCACTGATTCAGGATAAATGGCTGAAACGTTTGCATAGCTAACATTTGCAGATTTTTCTTATTCACACAATCTTTTCTTCTTTTTTTTTCTTTTTTGCCTCACAGCTGAGCTCTAGCATGAAAAGTAATTGGAAAAATGATTCCAATTCACTGTAATAACATCAATTTTAATAAAAAGGCACACAGATGCTAACAATTCTAGCTTTCTGCGAGTATTTTTCCTGGGCCTCAGGAAATGGGAACAGATTTTGGTGTTCTCTTGGGAAATATCGGCATGTCAATTCCAAGTATTTAATCTTAGAGCTGAATGACACCCTGTTCCTGATGGATTCTGCATATTCTATTTATCCGTCTTCCTCTAAACCATCTCTCAGAACGTCGCTTATTCGTGTCTTTAAGTGCACAGGATCCTTTCTCTTTGGCGTCTTCCAGACAAGTCGCCTTTATAAAGGGGAGATGGATGTTTTCTCCGCCGTGCATTTAAGTTTATTTCAGTACATAATGGATGCAAAAAGCCAACAGCTGTTACCTTGGTCTGTCCTTCAATGACAGAGAGAGGCACGCTGGTGGAGGGCCACTTGTTTCTAGGAGGTAAAGGCTTGTCGCAGTTCCATAAAACCACAATCTGTATGGGAGAAACACAGGATAATGTAACGCAAGCATCGACATTAGTTTCTGCACAGAGTGTTGTGAGACAGTTGATATTTCACACAAGTGTTAAAAAAAAACTGCAATAACCATCTTAATATGCGTTTTCTCTTTATTTTAAAGAAGTAAATTGAAGTCAGTGAGGCTTTTCTGCTCTACAGAAACACTTCCTGTATCTAATTATCAAAGAAAGATAGTCTGTCGCGTTATAATACAAAACTGTTTTCTCACATCAGCGGTGTGAACAATTAAGTGATTCAATCAAAAGCGTTCAGTACATTTACAGGTATACAGGTATTTATAGGGAGTCTTTATTACACGTAGTTCATAATAATGTTTTATAAGTCCCTCTGCTTATACAACAAGCCGTTTTTTCTCCAGATATTCCTCTTAAGTCTTTGGCTGTGTTGAACATTAGGCTTATTACAACATACAATCCAGCCCATATCTCGAGTTGCGAGTAAAAAAACTGTATGACGTTAAACAATTTCTATTTTGAAATACAGTTTCTATTGAGCAATAAACTGCACATACGGTGTAACTGGAGATTGAGACTAGTTGACTGGAGATTTTAACTACCAGACAGTGTTGTTGCTGCTCAGTTCACACTTCAACCACCATCAGGTCCTTAAACGCAGATACAGAGCGGGCCTTGATCTCCACAGTACACAATCCCTCCAACTTGTGTTAATATACAATCTGAGATGTGTCATATTGGTTTTGTGCTGCCTGCTCACAAAAAAAAAAAAAAAAACAGGACTTTTGTGGCATAATCAGAATTCCGAGGTCACGCTGATGCAACTGACTGCAGGCGAACGGTGCCACATCTCGCGCTGGACTCAAATGTGTTTTGACTTTCTTGACTTGTCAAAAACTTGTTACTGGAAAGTTTTTGAGCGAGTTGATTAGATGTTATTTTGTTACCGCCAGTCGTTCCAGACCTCTGACCTCGAATGAAAATTAGCCGGAGAAGTAACAAGTAATAAGTTTGACAACCCCTGCAGTAGCTAACGTTCATACATCTGTGTCCACATACTACAGAGGTTAAGAGAGTATTAGAGTTAAGTGCTCTGAGACAAATAAATCTGAATAATTTTATAAATTAAAAAAAAAAAAAGAATTCAGCAGAAATAGAAGATGGGAACCGGTAACTTTAGGTTTCATGCACAAAAAAAAAAAAAAATCTGCAATGACATAAAATATTCAGATATTTGTCATAATGTTGTGACTTTATTCTTAAAATATTACTCATGAAAAAAATGACTTTGTTTTTATATTATAATATTTACTCATTACTTATTTGATACGACAGTGAAGACAGATGGGAATCTAAGAGAAAGAGAAGGGAAATGACATGCAGTGAAAGGTTCCTGCTGACCGGGAATCCAACCTGGTTCCCGGCGTATGTCCCCATATGGTGCGTGCCTTAACCGCTTGCCTACTGGGTCACCTCTTTAGTCAGAAATGTTACAAATTTGTTTGAAAAATCACTTAAAGTGGCCACAACACTGGTTTGTATTAGAACAATGACTGTGCAGCATCTTTAAACTTTCCTATCTGAAGCTACAAACTATTTCATGGTAGAGAAGAAGAGACAGAAGAGGAGGGGAAAAAAGGAAATAGAGAACGGGAGAGATGGCAAAACAAAAAGAGTTTTGTCCTGACGAAAATTGAAAAGAAACATGTGGATAACTAAAACATGAGACAAGTGAGACATTTCTCTCATGAAATAATGGCACCTCCTGACATTGTTTACACTCTGCTTTGCATTTGACTCTTTATATTTAAAACAGCTTTTTCACGCTTTTCCTCGGCTGCAGAGGCACCGAATCGCAGCGAAAGCACAGACACACTTCCCACCTGTGCACAGAACTTGGACTTGGCTACAGCGATGATGAGCTTCACCACGGGGGAGATCTGGGACTGCAGAGGAGTTACCGTATGGATCACAGCTGTGAACTGCTGCGACGGGCTCTTACCTGCACAAACACACACACACACACACACACTTCAGACACAGTTGACACAGGTAAACTGTATTTAGGTTTTTTTTATTTTTTTTTAACACAGATTTGTGCAGATGTAGCTCTCCATAAAGCTCCATCACGGTTAACTGGACACAGAGTGCTCTGTGCTGCACCCGTCATCCATCTTTCTGACAGCGTATATACCCCTGGTTCACATGACTGAGCATGAGTAAACATGTCTAATCCAAGAGCGAACAGTTCGCTTTGAGTCTCTTTTACCGAATTGTGAATGATGCAGATTTGCTTCCATAATGAGTCGATCTGTTTTCTACAACTCTCGTTAGTTACTTTCTTGCATTTTGCTGAGACAAACAAATGAACCAAAAAGGACAAAAAAGAGACGTATCGAAGCAGAACCGAACTTTAAATTACTGCCTCGGATAAATGACATCCAGCATGCAGTGCAATGAGTAAATTTGTAATTTTTGAGGACGTGATTCCTCCTGTGGCTGCCTGCACCAGAGGAATGCATCAGTATTACGGAGCATGGGTTGCTACGATGGGATTGTAGTCTCTGATTAATAAATAAATCTATTCATGTCATGATTTTTATATATATATATACAAAAAGCATGCAGTGCTGGTGTTACAGAACATATATAATGCACACTAATGATAGCAGGAACCACATTTAAGTGATGTTCTTTTGATGGAAAATGCAAATATCAAGACAGTAAACAGTCCTCTGCTCATGACCAGCACAAGAATAATCTGACTACCGTACAATTATTGCATTTAGATGAAAGATGCGATTGAACATGTCGACAAACGGCAGCATGTGGCATCCTGGGTGAGTGCCAGAGAAGATTCCCTTTTGATTGTTAATCTGATTATCAAACAGATCATGTAAACTGAGGGGATATCCAGCAACTGAGCTGCGTAAACACTTTAATTACACAACTAATCTATTATCTTGCAAATATCAGGTAACAATGCGCATGTTAATGTTGAGATTACACATAACGCACTCAGAGGCTCCATCACAAAAGGAGGAGAGAGAGAACTCCTACTCTCTAACAGTAAGCATTGGGACTAATTGAATAGTCATTTTGAAGACGACTGTAGTGCCAATTAGAGGACTGCACTGGGATCCCGATGCAAATCTGGCAGCGGTGGGTGGTTTTAACTTTGCTGCAGGCAGAAGCGAGCAATCAAAAAATAAAAACTGGGTCCAGGTGTGGTGCTAAAGAAGCGATCATCTGCCAAAATGTGACTACAGCTCCTACACTGTAACTAAAACGTTGTTAGTGCATCGAAATGACTTGATCTCAGTCAAGAGGTTTGATGTTCTTTATAGTAGATATAAACCCATCTGTAAACCCTGTTAATTACACTGTAGTTTCTAAAATGTAAAGATGTTAGACAGACCAGACACATGCAGACTAAATATCCTTTGGCATTACAGGATTTCCTGCAACCAGCAGGACTGAGACAACAGAAGAAAAGAACATGAAAGCAGGTTTTACATTATAAAAGCAAAGCAAGTCTGACATGTGGACGCATTTTTCAATTGTTACTGAAAAAATAGAAAAGAAACAACAAATCTTCCACCTTTGGTTCTGAAGATTTCAGTGTCCAAGTTTCAGTTCATACAACTAGAATGTCCGAGTGTAAGTGAAAGCAGCACTACTGACTGTCAGATGTGTGCAACTTGTCTGTAAATATTAAATGTGCAACAGACACAGTTTGTGCCTTGTATGGATGGCGGCGCACACAAAACCCTCAAACTTGAACAGGAGCTAAAGTTCAGTTTGTTGCTTCCAGCTGTTTATAGGAGTCTTTCCTCTTTTATTAGTTTATTAAATACCTGCAGCAGCAAGCATGCATTTACACACAATACGACAAAACACAACACGGTGTCATTCCATCAGATATTAAACAAGACACTGTGAAGAAATGCATGAAACGTGTACCTATTGCTCTCGAAAAACAACTAATTATGGATGTGAGTGTACTTTTACTACCTCAGCAATGACAAATACACATCTGTGTATTAATACTCCACAGTACAACAGTGTGTTTTCCCCGTGGGACGGGAGAAGACACACAAGTCTGCATTGTGTGAATTATCGCTGGTGCTGGCTGGAATGGACATCCAAAGTGCAGGAGTGGGTGATAATGGTCAGAAATCCAGTGGGAGTGGGATTAAGTAAACATTCTAGTGTCAGCGCTGCACCTGGTGGAGATACTGCTGTACATCATCTGACCTTTTTAAAATATTCTAAGCCATCTGAAGCATATTATTATATAAGAACGCTTAGGAACATATTAGAAAACAACACATGTGACATATATTTCAAATGTGTAGGAGGAGGCTTCGGCGCAAGAGAAAAAAAAGTATTCGCTAAAGGTAATAACTATCAGATGATTTCTTATTTGCATCCATTACATTTGATCAGCACTCACAGTACTTGATTAAAACCTACCTTTGGCTCATAAATGTGCACATTTACCAACTCTAATCTAACAGGAGGTTTTATAATATCAGTGAAGTGTATGAAGTCTTCACATAACATTCTGTTAAGTGATTACATGCTGGTAGAAGAGCTGAACTCCTACAAGTTCAGGTTCATTTGGTGAAGCTCACACATGGACTCAGTTTACATTTTCCTGAACCTTCTCTCTGGTGGTTTTAGAGAAAGCCTCTACACCTTTACAAAGTGATTAGAAACTGTTAGATATCCAATGTGAGCGGCAAAAATAAAGATTATAGAAATCTACAAAGCATAAATGGGGTCAGATCAGGCGTGAGATCACACACACACACACACACAGTCATGCAATATTCAGAACAAGCAAAGAAGGCAGAAGTGCAGGCACATGGCATGGCCGGCGCTGGGTGGGTGTGGGAATAGGAGAATACGCATCCTGGTGGATAAGCAAAGCCAGAGTGCTCTTTAGTGTTGCTCGATCCATCTCTCTGACACTGGGCCCCCTGACCAGCCATCTCAGGTGGGCTTAGTGGTATTTATGGAAGCATGAGCTCTGCCCTTGTGGGGGTCACAGAAATAGGCTCACACCTTCTGGTTTTTGGTAAGAGCAATGGCACCTTGATTTTTATTAAATGACATGGACATTAATTGTTTCACTAATTAAATCAAGGTACTTCTGATTTATACCGTGGGTATGACATGTAATTATAGATTAAACAAATGATTCTAGAAATACGTGACACACTCCGTGGTATCAGTTGTACTGTAGATATTGTGTGGCTCTGGTGGAGCTTTTTAAAGTCTGGGAATATTACTCAAAAGATACTACTTCAAAGTAATTTCATCTTGGCCTTGGGAACTACAAATTTAAAAAAATGTGATAAGATAGAATGTGCTTCACAGTCTCAGGGGGACATTTGTCTTCTGCAAAAGTGCTGCACACAGCTGAATACTCTGTAGGTACATAATCTGCATACGCTACACAGAACAGACCCAAACATAACACACAAAGTGAAACCGTACCACAAGTACAGAGAGCACACACAAATCCTTAATGATGAAACAATGACCCATGGTCAGTGGGTGGCAGACATGACTGGAAGAAAAATTAAAAACAGATGTCAAATGTATGGTGGTTTAAATGGGAAAAAAAAACAACAACAACAAAAAAAAAAACAAGCTTTCAAATTGCAATGTGGGACATGGAGGATTTTCGGAGCATTTTTGGGGCTTAACCCCCATTAGAAAGTAATTATTCAATTTGTTTTTCATTCAGTTTATTAAATTATGTTTTATCCTAATTATTCAGGATTCATATGTCACAACTGATTTACTTTATGTATACACACACACTAAAGCACAGGAGGGCTCTTTTTAACTCTATTCAGGACTGTTGGGCTCTTTTGGACCGAGGCCATTTGGTTTAGGTGATTGTTTTTTTGTTTTTTTTTTTAAAGATTTTTTTTTTTATATATAAAAAGGGCACTTGTCATACATTTCTTTCTTGAGGTCCAATGGAACCCAAAGGATCTTCTACGTATGGCAACATGAAAGTCCTGAATAGGGTTAAACAGAGGCAGTGCAATATATGTCAGCCACAATATTAAAACCAGTGGTCAACCATGTGCTGTCAAACAGCTCTGAACCACTGGGACACATACATAGGACCTCTGGGGGTCCTGTGGTGTTGCCAGTGGATCCTTTGGGTTCTTTTGATTATGGGTTGGCACCTTTGTGGATCGAGTCTGGTACAGTATATGTAACAAATGCTTGATCAGATTCTTCCCACCTGTTTTCAACTATTTTTTTTTTAAATTAGGAGAAAAAAATACAATTTAAGAGGGCTGGGTGGTTTTGAAAGCAGTAATGTGAGAACTAATGTTAAAACAGATGTGTTTCATATTTGAGAGTTATATTATGGAATAGACTTTGTGATGACTTGAAATTATGTAGGTCTCTGTTGAGATTTAAAAAAAAAACAAACATTGAAAGGTAAAATAATCAAGGATTACAATGTAAAATGACTGACATGTGAAATGATTAAGAAGAATAATTTAGAGTGAATCTTGTTATGTTTTATTTCTTTTCTTCTTTGCATTATTGATATTCTGGGTTATTTTATGGATTGTACAGGATAGGCAAAAACAAGCCTTGGCTTCAGCCTATTTCTTTTTCGGTTACAGAGCTTGTTAATTTTTTTTTTGAGAAAAAATGTTTAATGGAAGCATGTATAATTCTTTGTCAGCTGAATGCGATTAAATTTTTGTACTGTAGATGGTAACCGAAACAAACCATTCATTCATTCACTCATTCATTCATTCATTCATTCATATCTGGAGACATCACAGTGAATTCTTGGTCATGTTTCTAGAGATGTTCCTGCAGTTTTTACAGTGTGTGTGTTGTATTTTATATATATTGTATATATATTTTTTATATATTTTTAAAATATTTTTTTGTGTTGTATTTTATATATTTTTTAAATATATTTTATTTTATTTTTCATTATATTTTTTACCCAATCTGTTTTTTATTTTATTTTATTTATTTATTTTTTGTTGTTGTCTTATTTTAATTTATTTTTATTTTATCATATCTTGTTGCACTGTAGCTCTGGATCTGGGAAACGCTGTCTCATTTCACTGTGTACTGTACAGCTGTATGTGGTTGAAATGACAATAAAGCTCTTTGAAATCTTTTGAAATCTTTTTTGTTCTGCAGGGGGAGGCTGCTCCTGTTAACAGATATTGTTGGCATGAAGGTGTGTGCTTTAGGTGTCAAAGTGACGTCTATGTGAATGTGAGGACACAATATTTCCAAGCAGAACTTGTATGCAATTGTAACAAAATGATACATCTTGTTCACTTCACTTCTTAATGGTTTTAGTGCTGTGGCTCATTGGTTTACATTTATACCCAAACTTGTCTCAGTGAAAGCTCTGCTGGTGGCTGGACTGCCTCTATTCTTATGACAGTTCAGGGACAAGAGTCTTTCGTCATTAGTGGACATTGGACTGTACAGAAACATGATGGCCTCAGTGTGCACCACTGTGGGCGGTGGAGTCAGGGAGGTTTTGAGAAAAATGAAGATAATCTAAATTACATTACAACTGGCAGATGTTGTTTTTAGTCTAAGGGGGCTTTAATTTGTCCCTGGCATGCACACATCTGGGACTATGCAGGGTTCAGTGCTTAAACACACTTGAGGATGTGAGGAGCAGGGATTGAACCCCAAACTCTATGATTAATGGCTGACCCAGTTACTAATTAATAATGTCACGAAAGATATGCAAAAACACACGGCACGCTAATTAAACACAGAAATACAGCAGTGTGAGATGCTCAGCACGTATAATAAGAATAGACAAAAACGTTTGGCCTTGATCGTGTTCTCACGGAGGGATTTTTAAAAAGCCGGAGTGAATATAAATATATCAGCATGTCAGTGGAACACACTGCTTAATGTGTTTTTAGCTTAACTGAAATTGATATAAATGAGATGGGAAGGTGAGAAAGAAAGAAAAAAAGGAGTTGGAATGCATTATAAATGCCAGCACCATGGAGAGAAACAAGTTCAGCTGCATCAACGCCATCACCATGATCAGAAAGGAAGCCAAAATATTGCCTTAGTGTTATTTCCTTGACTTCATCTGTAACCAGAGTCTGCTCAGGGAGGACACGATTCCTGCCTCCTGCCCAAACCTTCCCACAGCCCAGCCACTGTAACCTGTCCGTCCACAAATGTTAGATATATTCCAAGTTTATCACATAATACATGCTTACCTGTGGAAAAATCATATACAGTATCTAAACATATAGTACAAGCTTTGAGTTTTCACATTACCACATAATGACCAACCTAACCTGTGATGGAAACGCTTCAAAAACCCAAATCCAGACCAGGGAAATAAGTTCACACTTTGTTTACCTGTTATAATGTACAAAAAAATAAAAAATAAAAAGTCGGTTCTCTACAAAAACTTATAGAACGCTTGTCCTCCATCAGCCACACATTCTGAATAATGCAAAAGACAAAAGTGGCTCAGAACAGATACCAGCAGCTTTGATTCTAAATCCAAACCTTAACACCAAAATCAGATTTCAGCTTGACAGAGACGGTTATATCTGCTCTAAATCTGCTATCATTCAGATGTACATCGCCTGAGAAAGATGGATTTTTTTTCCCTTTTCTTATTAAACTTGATTTTCATCTGTCATTACTGGGAAAAAGAATCGCTTCATGCTGACAGTTTTACTCAACTGACCTCTGACCTTTCCCTTAAAACAAACAGGTAGTGACAAAGCATGAATTTAAAGACTCATTTTCAATTTTTTATTTCTTTACCCCTTGTTGACATGCCAGTGTGGTGTTTTTAATATGCTGGAAGACATATTGTGAGAAAAATAAGCAGTCAGTGCATAAAACTGCTGTGTACCAATGACAATTTTTAAACAAAATTCAAAAACATGGATACTAACATCCAGTTTAATATGTTACAAACCCTTTCTCTTGCTCAGTGGGGCTTTCTGTGTCATTATTTCTTTAGATTTGGTTCAAGCAGGTAGCTGAATTACTCCGTTATTACACCATGTCACTGTGTACAGCATCGCAGCACAGTCACAGGAGAGCTGGTATGCTTGAGCTGCAAGCAAGTTTGGGATTGTTGTTGCTTGGTGGTTTATGTTCCTAACCACCGCAGTCTATCATTAACATGTGTACAGTTATGAATGAAAATATATTAAACATATAAAATAACGGCATGGACGACCTTTTCCAGCAGTGTAGTGAAAAGTCTACAGCCAAATAAAAGCTACAGTTCAGTGGTCATCATCTATATGGGTTTCTCAGTGGTCACTACTCGCTACATAATGCCAATATCGTGTTTTTGCAACTAATAAAAAACAACATTTTAAAAATAATACCATAGAGAAATGTATGGTTAGTAAAAATTATAATAGCTTTTGAATGCACGTTCCTACACTGACGTCCTGTGAAACTGCAAAACCACCTGGAAAAATAAAAAAAACATCTGTGCATATTATAAACTGATCCATGAATTTTTGAAAATTGAACAAACAACCTCCTTTTGTTTTCACAGCTCAAAGCAGCTCCGCAGCACACATAATTGCACAACTTTCCACAAACTTAAAGTAAAGCTCTAACTTGAGCCATCAAATCAGGGTTTTCTTGCAGCTCCTGAGGCCACTGTGTCTGAGCAGTAAGTCAAACTTTTTCAACTATCGGGCAGAGGCTGCAACTGCTTTGCCATCAAAAGTTATGGGAAGGTAGCAGAGTGAGACCGTCGTGCACATGGCACTGACAACAAGTTATTCCCTGAGCAGCAGCACTGGAGATGGCAGCAGCAGAAATAGTGATTTACTGCAGAGGCATAAACAAAACTGCTCCATCTTTCCTTCTCTCCCTCAATCCCTCCCTTCTTCCCTCCTTCTAACCCTTGTGTCCACAATTCCTCGGAGAAAGACAAACATCGATCCGAGTTACAGCCTCAGTCTAGCGAGAATCGCCGTGGTCTGCATGCACACCCACATAGACATGCACATACAGCAGGGCCCCTGTCTTTGCCTGCAGCTTTAAGTTTTGGAACTTTGCACCAATAGGAGTCTTCCACTATTTATATAGTTCAGTTTTACAAAAAATATTGCAAATGTCAATTGAATTTACAGTTAAAAACCAGCAGTGTGGTCTGCATCATGAGCTCTTGCTGCTTCCTTTTGCTCTTCTAAGCTACCAGCAGCCAGCTTTGTCGCTGACACGTCATTTATTTTTGAGAAGATTCCTCTTGCATAGAAGAATCGGCGCAACTAACGTCCGGCTTCTAGACAAGCTCTTGGTGGCAGAAGCAACAGCTTACAAGGAATAAATTGAAGAATTTGCATAAAAGTGTCACGCACATTAACATAATTGGCTTGTTTGGGTGTAACCAAGCCAATGATGTATCAATTAATTTAAACCTTTCTCCAGTTTTCACATACATGATGAGCCAAAACATTGTGACCATCTGCCTAATAAGGTGTTGGTCGTCCGTGTGCTGCCAAAACAGCTTGGACCCGTCGAGGCACGGACTCCACCGGAACCCTGAAAGGTGCTGCCTGGTATTAGACACTGAGACATCAGCTGCAGATCCTTTAGGTCCTGTAAATTGTGAGTTGGAGCCTGTTAGCTTCAGCACATCCCCCTCCACACCCTGTCACCGGTTCATGGTTTGTCTCTGACGAAGATAGTCATCTCTGCTGCAGGCAACACCCTTCAAGCCTTTCAGCTTCAACTGGTTGGTTATTGTCTAATATATCAGAGGTCTTCACACACTCTGTTGTTAAGACATAATCAACACTATTTGCTTCCTCAGTGAGACTTGCTTCATTTGACTTCTATTTCAGTACTTACCCAGTATGGCATAGTAAAAAGGGAACTGGGCCGGGTCAGTCGAGTACTGCGGGAGAGTGTAGAGACCACCAGGCAGGGAGTTCCACAACAACCGGTTTCTGGATATATGAGAGTCCACACGGTCCTGGATGATCTGGAGGAGAGAGAGAGGAGAGTGGGAGAGAAAGAGCAAGGACACAAGAAGAATTTAAGATAAAAAGGAATAATAAATCAAAAAGAACAACAAACATAAAAAGAAAAAAAACGTAGAAAACAGAAGGGAGACCAAAAGGAGAGATAAAATACGAGGTGGTGGAGTGAAAAGAACTTATGATGTGAAAGTATTCCTTCCTACGTGTTCTTTATTTTCCAGAATTTTGCATCACAGTCGACTGAGAACTGGTTATATATGCAACGCAAACACACGTTTTATATTAATTACATAATGTCTAAAGAAAACCATGTTTCTCCAAATTACACAATTTAGATTTTAACTAAATGATTAATTCTTCTTTTATGATTTTTTTTAAATCCTCTTCTTCCATCTCTAGTCATTTATTAAATTCAAAAAAGTTTTGATTCACATGTTTTTGAGTATGAGTAAGTCAACAGTTTTGACTTATTGTAACTTAAAACAACGACAACAGAAACTAATAAACATCAAATTGTGTTATTGTGTATTATTATTCTGTTCTGTCCACTTATTTCTATCAAAAGCTTTAAGTCGTATTAACACAAAATGTTTGAGTCGATATAACGGAAAATTTAAAGTCACATTAAATGAAAATATTTGAGTTGACTTAATGAACTTTCATTTAACTGTAATCAAAGGGTACACGCAGCAGGTCGTCCAAACTTTGAAGTTCTGAAAACTTTCGACTTGTAAGTTTATCAACTCAAAACTTTTGAGACAATCAATCGCCTCAATTGTTTGAGTTTTGGTAACTTGTTCAGACAGAGGAGTTATGTTTTTAAAGGTACTTCCAAACAGTCCTCGGATCGGATTGGCAAATGTTTTATTTTTGGCAAATGTTTGAATAAGACCATGTAGAATAAAGTGGATGTGAGAAAAAGTTTTAATTTGGATCATTTCAAGGTCAGAAAACTGATCAAAAAAGCTTTGAATTTTACTGGTTGGGGTTCTTTAACTATTTGAAACAGTGTAAGCTGGAAAATGGCCACAGCTACTGACTAAGCTGTTTTTGGTAGCGAACAAAAAGTTGATGTTTTGAAGATATTTCATTTTTACAGAGACTATACCGCACACACTTGGAATTCAATTTGAAGTCGAAACGTTATACGAGCACAAGGACACATCATGCAGCCGATACAAACCGCCATCACCTCCGTGGTACTGCAGCTAACAGCTCCTTTAACCCTCCCTGCAGCATCTGGTGCTTTGGGAAACCTCGACAGGGCGCATGACTGCACAGAGCGGCCCAGAGATGCTTCTCCTTCACACGGAGCAGCGACTCGATCCCAACATGAGCAGTCCATTAGTTATTTAGCTAATAGCATCCATCTGGCTGGTTACCAAAGGTCAGGTTAGCTGGTTGAACGCCGCGACTGAGAGCCAAGAACCTCTGGAGGCTTTGAAGGGTGACACGACCTCAACCTCCTCTCATGAACGCACAAATGTTTAAGGTTCTGGAATAAGGATGTCATTTGTTTACTGTGATTACACGAAAATGATGCTATGAGTTTGAAAATGATGTTTTAAAGGCTTGAAAATATAAAGCTGGTTAAGGTGGGGCTAATTTAAATATTTCATATTTCACCAACACACCATATGTTTAGTTTGAAAATCCTGATTTGTAGGCTTTCAGTACATTGCTCTATAAACTGTTGTGGAGGTGAAGCATAAAGTAGCATGAAATGAAAATACGAAAACACCTCAAGTCCGTACAGCGAGCCGTTCTAACATTTAATAGCCGGACTGGATATGTGTTTCCAGATGTCCGTAACTCAATTCTTCCTCATCAAAAAGGACATTTCAGATATCCACAATGACATTCTTCCTGGGACGAACGACATCACTTTTACCATTCATGTGTACGGGGTTTCTTATTGCACTGTATTTATTGAAGTCCTTTGCAAAGATCAGCAATGTAACAATTCCGACTCGTCACAAATCTAGTTCAGCGTGTCTTTAATACGCTTCAATTCAACGTTTGTACATTGTCGTTTATATAAATTAGATTTTAACTGGTCAAGATGACGTTGTACATAAGTAGATAAGTTTTCTGATGAGTCAGAATGTAAATAGAAATTAGAGTTTTCACTGGGCGAGATGACATTATGTTAGAAACTATGGCGAGGATGAGGTGACCTGCTTTGCAAAGATGCTATGGTACAGCATCTGTAGCTGCACATCACGAGCTGTTAGAGCACCTTGAAACTAAAGTTCTCTGAAAATTTCGACCACAGGTTTGTAATGAACAAACTCTTTTGGATGAGTTCTTGATATTTTACAAGCATTTTCTAACAATCCTATTCACCACAGCAGCCGCCATCATTTGTTCTAATGCTCTGCTGCACCAATATCTAATGCGAAGCCTCACAATGAGCAGCGTCATTCGCAACAATGATGATATCCGGAATAAAAACTCTGATTAGTCACAGTGGAATTGGTCAAAATGACGTGTCTCTATTTATAATTCCACACATGTTCCAGCAGCTTGCCATAGGTGTGTGACTGTGTGGGAGGGGGCTCATAATGCGGATGGCTGGCTTGCCAGATGTTGAATGAAAAAGAGCTTCCGTGGGACTGAGCGAAAAAAAGGTCTTTCTTGCGATGACAGCTCGCTACAGTGCTGCCTCCTTCTTCCTCTCTAATTTAATTCCTTTTCTCTCCACTTGTCACGAGTTGAGAAAATGAATTCAGGCCCTCGTTTGACTAACCCCAGAAGGCTTCTTAAACGTGTGATGTCTTGATTTAGTTCAGGCCGAAAAGGCACTTTCAGACCATAAATGCATGTTACATCAAGCCAGCATGGAATGAGTCTCTGCATGACTGTGTGAATATTAGTTTTGGAGCGATATTATACGGAATTTTTAAGCATCACCAAAAGCATTTTAGTATTTATGCTGTTTATTGTCAGAAAATTGGCAATTTAAGTAGAGAGTAAGAAACTTTAAGATCTTTTCTTTATTAAAAATGATGGAATTTACAGCAGCTTTCCAAGCACATACTTGACACGATAAAGCCATCATACTTTTAATCATTTGTCTTAAATGCTGCAAGGTGCACCAGTGAATAGCACCATTGCCTCGCAGCTAGAAGGTCGCCGGTTCTTGTCCTGGGATCTTTCTGTGTGGAGTTTGCATGTTCTCCTTGTGCAGCGTGGGTTCTCTCTGGGTTCTCCCACAGTCCAAAAACATGTTGAGGTTAATTGGTGATTCTAAATTGTCTGTAGATGTGAATGTGAGTGTGCTTGGTTGTCTGTCTCTAAGTGTGGCCCTGTGATAGACTGGTGACCTGTCCAGAGTGTCCCCTGCCTTCACCCTAAGTCAGCTGGGATAGACTCCAGCCCCCCACGACCCTAGTGAGGATTAAGCGGTGTATAGATAATGGATGGATGTATGGATGGATGGATAAATGTGTTAGTGTCATGCTAATTTTAATCTAGTAAAATCCTTAATGATGCTTGTCTACGTTTTGATTTCAATCATTTTTGATAAATAAATGACCATCCACCACAAGGATGGCTTTTAAAATCTCAAAATGCTGAAATAATGGTGAAATAATGAATTTTGTTTTTATGAAATTGAATTTTAATGAATACAAATATTCAAATTTTAAACATCTATTTGTGTTCAAACCAACACAGTTGCTAAGAACAAAGCATGAGACAACGTGTTTCTTTGTCTTTCTTTGTCTACTGATCTGTGGAGAAATGGCACTTACAGCCAGCTCTGTACACCCACACACACACACACACACACACACACACACACACACACACACACACACACGCACACAAACACACCACCTCCTGACACCAACTGTCAGGCTTGCAGTATGTGGGACACTACAGTTATCAGCAACGCTTCATTTCACCCGTTTAGCCTGGTGGCATGCTGGCTCTGAGTTTTTAGCACATCTGGCCAGCAGCACACGGCTGTCAGTGGGCTTCTGTCTAATTTCATACCCTGCTAGCACTGGGCATTTGGTGGAGTCACTGAGGTCTTGTTTGTGCAGAGAATATACGGGGGGGAATAAAAATGCTGCAATTTGAAAAGTCTTTGTATTAACCTACACAGGAAAAAAACAAACATTATGTTATGTTGTGTTCTTTATCTTTACCATTCTTCTTTAGGCTTCATGCAAACATTTACAGGTGAAACATGACGGAACTCCGTGCAGCATCTTTAGCCAGGGGTCGACTGGCAACCAAAAGCAGCTCAGGAATTTACCGTCAAAGGTTCCCCAATCTGATGCATCACTAACATAACGCCCCACGTGTGTCGATCAATGAATCCTCAGTCTGACACATCAACTATTGTTTGTGTTATTCTAAAGTGTAAAAGAATGAAACAAACAAAATGAAGGTTTTGTGATGATGCTGTTGATGACGTTAGTGTTTTAAGGAGCAGAAATTCAAAGCTGAATTACTGGAAGTGCCACCTGACAGCTAATTCTCTTAATAGCTGCTTTTATTATCGGAATCATTTACAACATTGCAACTAACGTGATACATTATGCCTTAATTTACAGTCACACAGGAACATTGAGCGGCGCTCCTCTAATTGGATCTGTGCTGGTTCCTGCTCCTCCATTCTTTGTCTTTCTTATTCAGAGCAAGGTTAACCTGTTGGTTTACATTGTAGCGCCTTTAATGTTTAACTTACATTCCTTATAAGCTACATACGAAAAAGAGCTGATGAGCAGTCAGAGGTTGACAATCATTTCTTTTCACTTATAAGAGAAATGTAAATGTTTGTGCTCTGAATCCAACAGTTAAACCTTGGAAACAGTGGAACCTGCAGCACTGAAACGCCAAAGTTAACAAACATTTAGTGAGTTCCTTTAGCTGGTGCACAGCACTGAGCATGTCAGCCTGACAAAGAGGCTGCTCCCTCCTCTCTGAAGTTTCTGCATCTCCACCACCGTCCTCATCATCACCTGCAGACCGCTTTAATAAATCTGTTATATCTTAGCATCATCAGCCAGCAAAGCCTTTTTCTCTGTCTCATACCATCTCTGAACTGCCTGCCACAGGTTTTTTAAACATTCTATCCATATTATGGCATCGAGTGCTGAAAGACTTAATGAACGCTGGATACTTTGAGCTGTAATGACTACTGCTGTTACTGATTTTACCAGTTGTGTCATGGCAGCTGAAATGACCTGTCGAATATCTGTACATTTGCATAGAGGCTATTACCGCTGGGGTTCAGATGAAAGCACCGGCCAGTCAGTGCAAATTCAAAACCTGAACCTGTCTTAACAAACTTTCATGTGATATCCTGTCAGTCCAGCGTCTTCATGCGTCTAAAATAACTGGATGTAGATTCTGAAAGCAAAACAGCACATTAACTCTCTTAGAAAATGAAAGTTTGTACTTCGAAGCAGTGAAACAAACTCTTGTTAAATCTACTGCTGTCAGGGATTTCACTACTGCAGCCCTTAAAGGTGCAGTATGTGATTGTAATCCGATGCACTTTCAGCCACATTCAGTGAATATCTCCTCACGGTCTACTAGCTGTCTGTTCTGTGTGCGGCTGATGTTCGCACACAGTCCTGGCTCTGCTAGTGGAAAACAAAACACAGTGGCTTGGACTGAGCCACACAACCCGGTGTATTTCTGTGCACAAGACATGGAGAAGTTGTAACATGAAATCGTGGAACCGCATATAAATATACAACATGTGACTTCCGGCATATTTTGCATTTTACATTTTAAGTTTTTGGTGTCGCAAAAACATGCTAAATAGTTAAGGTTAAAATAAAGGTCATTTGTTGCAGCTGTATGGCACGCAATAAAATGCAAAATTCGTGTGCTGGCGACAAATGTTATAAACCTTTTAATGATGCTACGCTGGACAGGGAGGGTGAGGGAAGATGGGGGGAAAGAGAGGCACAGTATAGCCTAAATATGGTGCAGGTTAACCATCTGTATATCAACAGTCGCCAGCAGTTTCAGGTTGTTAATCATAGCGAGGGTTGCATATTGCTGCACAACTGGCATACAGGCTATACAAGGCTGTGTTATTTCCGCTTGATGTGTCCTCAGTTCAGCTTCACAATATGAAAGCTGATTGCTGGGTTGATTGTTCTGATTGCACTAACATATATTATTGCAAGGACTGCAATTATTTTATGACTAATAAGAGTAGGCAACTTTATTTACATGATTAATGTCTCCTGATTTGGTTTAAAGATTATTTACATTCATGATATTTGTTGAAAAAAAAAAAAAAAAGTTTGATGTTAAGAAACTAAATGTATAAGAATAAATGAGCTACTTTTCCAATTTGTAAAAACAACTTAAATATGTGCTGTGTGACAATATATCTGACATATTGAGTGAAAGAAAGATTGCACCGTTCAACTCAGTGCATTTATTAATTCTGCAATTAAAAAATAGAATCAGCGTGACTGTAGCAATTAAACCAGGAAGACTTAAACAATGAATCATTCATACATATATGTAAACATATTATTCACATTATAATAATATATTAAAAGTTCTATCATTTCATGGTGAATATAAAAGCCCATGAGCAGCCCTTAAATGATTTAACGAGGGTGATGATGATGATGATGATGATGATAGTAGTGATGGAGACCGTGATGCTAATGCAATGATGAAAATGATGATTAATAGTTGCGGCGATGGTGATTTTAATGTTTATGCTGGAGGTGATGAAGGAAAACAATAATGTGTTGCTGTATAAAGACGGTGGTGGTCTCACTGATGTTTATGTGATGATAAGTATGATGCCGCTGCGGATGGCGGTGATAAAGAGGACTGTTATATCTTTTGTGTCTGCGTTCAGAGATGCTACGCGGAGCAAAGAGTCCCTGAGGACTAAATCAAGGCTGCGAGGAGGTGAACTAACAACAGCGGAGAATAAAATAAGACGAGGAAGGCTCTCGCAGTACATGCCAATGAGACAAGTTCATTTTGTGCACCTCAGCTGGTTAGGTCATTTAATGAGCCGGCCTGTGGGTTTCTAGCCTTGAGAGCGGGCATATACACCCACACACATACTGCAGCCTCTCCAACCTGAAGGCTGCCAGACAGCACAGACCTCCTTCACACCTGGCACTTCACACTGCCTCTCATGCTCCCATTGTGTTTAGATTCTAGGCATCAAAATGCTGGTTTTCAGCCTACATGTAAGGTTCAAATTAATGTTACTTTTCTTTTCCAAGGTTTGTCAGATCGCTGTTTGCATCAGTTACCGCGTTCCCAAATTTACTATGGATGTTAGCTGTGTTTTATGAAATATTTTTTTTCGAAACTCAGTCAAGTAAAAGGTGTAAAATTTACTCTGAGAATACACGTTTAATTAATAAAGAAAGCAGATTTATTTATAGCTGCATAAATCAACATGTTTATATTAATAATGGATCTAAAACTATGTGCAAAGTCAAAGGTGTTGCTGGTCGTGATAATCTCACACTAAATTATCACCAAAGTCTGCCGGTGCCCTCACGTCTGCAGCGTATTTTGCTACTTTGAGCTAATTGATGTGATTTTGCAGCTTTCCAATTTGCTTTTTAGGCTTTACTGCATTCATCAAGTCTTGTTTGCAGACGGATGTTTTCAGCTACAAAGGCTCTCATTAAGTCATTGTGTGCTACCTGATCAGCACTAAACGACACTAAGGACTCTCTGTTGCACATTTATCAGCTGGTGGAGACCAAAACAGAGATAAAAGGGAGTGATTTGGGGGTTTTGTGCCTTCCAGATGTGTAACTAAACTAAACTAAACTAAACTGCGTGCTAGCGCTTGGAGATTTAAACGTTGATGTGATGTCAGCGTAACATCCTACTTTACATCATATGTTGTATCATATCACAACTTTTTCCAG